TGAACATCAGAGCTTTTTTTTTTTTTTTTCCTGCCTTCCAACTAGAACTGAAACACTGGCCTTTCCTGGGTCTCAAGCCTGCCAACGTTCAGAATGGAACTTACACCATCGGCTCTCCTGGGCCTCCAGCTTGCCAGCTGCAGGTCTCGGGACTTGTCAGCCTCCATAACTGTGTGGGCCTCTTCCTTATACAAAATCAATCCCTTCTCTCTCCACTCACCACAGCCCCTCTGCATGGTTTCAATTATAAGAGGCCAAGAAAATGATCTCACGGTACTTGCCAAATGGCCTGTCCTTGGGGTGCCAGACCCCTTCTGGCTTCTGTGTAGGAAGAAATGCCATCTCAGTGCCATACTTTATGGTACATAGACCCCCGAGCATCTCTGTGTATGCCCACAGTCTTCAATAAACTATATAAAAAACAGCTCCTTCAATCTCTGTTACTGTTTTCTGAAAATTTCCAAAAATCTCCCATGAAAACAGTTGGCTTACCTTTGTGGCTCATCCTTCCTGATTATAGTTTCTGAAGCTCAGTGCAAAGGGAGAGGCCAGCAGGTGCCATGGATCTTGGCTCCTGCATCGTCCTCTTTCCTCTCCCCCTCCCTGAGATTTGCTGTTCACTAAACTCTTCCTTCTTCCCAGTTGCAAACAAAACCTTTTGCGCATGGATACAACAGAGACAGTCATTAGCAAGGAGGTTGTTTACAGCAGCAGAGCTAAGCCTCCAATCAGCCAGCCACAAAGCCTTGAAGAATGTGTCTGTGTGGGTGTGTGGGTGTGTGGGTGTGTGTGCACGAGCATGCGTGCATAAGCACAAATGTTTCTTTTCAAGTCACTGTATGCTTGGAACTGGGGGATTAAACAGATGAAGCCTTACTTTTGTCCTTCCTTTTGAGCAATCCTCTTAGAGATTGGATAGTATGGTAGGTATCCTAGATAAACCTTTCATTGCTTAACTAAAATTTTCCCAGAAGCGTCAAGAAGATGGCATTGTAACCAAAGCAAGTACATATGACTTTATCGGAGATTAAGAACCGACGTGCTGTTTGGATCGACCTACCACGCTGTGGTTCCGCTCTGTGCACGTGGTTCCGCTCTGTGCACGTGGTTCAGCTTCTCTTTCGTGATGACATAGTAGAAACTGTAAGAAAGCTAGCTATTTTAATTCTTCCAAAACCTTATATCAAATTGAAGGAGAAATAAGAAAACAGAGGATACGTAGGTATGATTTTCAGCGGACTGAAAGAATCTAGCAAGCGAATATTGGTTTCAGTGCCTGGCACACAAATGAGTATATCGATGGTGTTCTTTATGTTGAAGGTGCCAAGTTTCATTTCCCACTCAATTGAAGACTACAGGGTAGGAGTAGGCAGTCTGATTGAGTGAGCCAGTGCAAGGCTAATGACTTACTTTTAAGATCCCACAGTGTGCTCTGACTTGGAAAATCTCAATATACTTTAGACTCCAGAAGGAAAAGGACACTTTGTTGATTCTTTCAACTGTAACATATTATAATATTACCAGCAATCAAAATGGACTTCCTTAGGGGAAAATTTAAATGAAGCCACATCCTTGGGAGGTATTCTGTACTGGAAATCGCCTAGCTTCTTTCTGCTGCTTCCAACTGCCAGGGCTCTGATATCCCAGAGAGGGAAATGAGAAAAGTTGCTCAAACCATGTCAGGTTGGCCTTTCTTGATATATTGCAACAGCTGTGGGGATAAAGTGTCCCAGGAAACAACCATGTAGCAGGAAACTAGTCTATGCTGGGCATTCAGTAAACAAGGTTTCAATATTTAGGGCGCGAAGAGCATGTGAAATGAATAAGCAATCATTTGTGTATTTCATCGCTCTTTTTCATAGTTGCAAAAGCATCACTTACAGATCAGTAGCGATTACATTTCAGAAAACAGGGTCATGCGTGAACTTGTGGCCTCATTTGATGGTGGGAGGTGACACTGCAGAAAGAATACTGATCAGTTTCAGATGCAAGTGAGAATTTCCGACGGCCTTCACTTCGAGGACAACTCCCAACTAGGCAGTGACCAGGATCTTCCCCTGAAGTCTTTATGGAGACAGAGCTTTTCCTCGCATAGCAGGTGGCCTTCTCTTGGCTACCGCTTGGTGCCAGAATCTCAGCCCCCCCGAGGGTGGCGCTCACTCCCGCTTCCTGTGAGCAGATGAACGGCATATGGCCCTGTGTTTCTCAAGGACAGAGCCTGTGGCTTTCCCCAGCCAGTTAGGAAAATGAATCTGGATGAAAAAGGGAAGGTTTCAGGATAAAACCAAAAAGATTAAGTTCTTATACCCAGGCAACATGCTTTCCTAAATAGAGAGGGAAACACTGAGCTGAACATAAAAATGATGGTGATGGTCATGGCAGGAAGATCAAAGTGGCCTTTAAATCCCAAAGTGCCCAGAAGTAAGGGAGCAAAAAAGAGAGGTTTCTTTTCCCTGATATGTTTCTTATTCTTTAAGCACACCACAAAAACAATAAAACTTTTAAATGGAATACCTCTTCAGCCTTCTAAAATAAAATTTCCAAGAAGATCCCCAAATTAAAATGGATCGTTAGATCAAAAATAGTGGTAAAGGGCTTCCCTGATGGCGCAGTGGTTGAGAGTCCGCCTGCCGATGCAGGGGACACAGGTTCGTGCCCCGGTCCGGGAGGATCCCACGTGCCGCGGAGCGGCTGGGCCCGTGAGCCATGGCCGCTGAGCCTGCGCGTCCGGAGCCTGTGCTCCGCAACGGGAGAGGCCGCAACAGTGAGAGGCCCGCGTACCGCAAAAGAAAAATTAAAAAAAATAATAATAATAAAATAATAATAATGGTAAAGAGGATAAATGCTCTTCGGGGAGAGAATATAAAGCAGCAAAGGGAACTGTATCCAGAATTTAGCACTGCTAAAGGTAGAGAGCTTCCTCGTGCACCGACAGCTAATAAAGTGGCCCAAGCTGATTACAGTGAGTGAGGTTCATCTCAAAAAGACACCGCCATTTGTAAAACATCCTACCATTTGGGAAAACATGGATAGACCTTGAAGGCATTATGGCAAGTGAAATAAGTTCGACAGAGAGACAAGCACCGTGTGATCTCACTTTTATGTGGAATCCAAGAAAACGAAGAACAACAAACTCATAGATACAAAGAACAGATTGGGGGTTGCAGAGGTGGAGGTAGCCAGTGGGCTGAAATGGGTAAAGGGAGTCAAAATGTACACACTTCCAACTACAAAGTCAGTCAGTCCTGGGGATGTAACGTACAGCAGGGCGACTGTAGTTAATAACACTGTATCACGTATTTGAAAGTTGCTGAGAGAGTAGGTCTTAAAAGTTCTCAACATAAGAAAAATAGTTTGTAACTATGGATGGTGGTGGGTGTTAACTAGACTTACTGTGATGATCATTCCACAATAGTTACTGATATTAAATCATTATGCTGCACACCTGAAACTAATATATATATATGTCAATTACATGCTAATAAAAGCACATGATCCTTTATATTGTTTAAAACTTTTAAATACAATTAATGCGATTTATTCCTCTTTTGAGTTCAGTGCCCAAAATTAAAATGTCTGTCTATCCTGAAAAATTAATGTGCTCATTAAAATGATAATAGCCTCTATACAATCTATGGATTTACCTTTTGCCATGGTTGTTAGGAAACCCAGAGAAAATGAAGAGAGTGAAATATGCTTAATATTGGTTTCCTTTTTCACTCTCTCTTACATAATTCTAGAATTTTTAATATTATTTTGTATTTAAATTATATTTTTATATATCGTATATTTATATTATATAGCAATCAAGCTTTTAAGTGCATTTTATTGTGAATTTACCAAAACATATTGACTAAGACTAGAGTAGATATTATACATAATGCTCAGTAAACTACATTAGAGCAGTTCATTGTAAAATTGTGGAAATTACAAGGACACAGTGACAGTAAAAATGAAAACAATAATAATAAAGAGACCTTGAAACTGAGTTCTTAAGAGAACCACTGATCAAGTCCTATGTGGTCACGATGACTTAAATTCGAAAATTATATAATAAGAAGCACAGCTGTATTTAGGATAAAGGATTCCACCCCATCCTCACCCCTGTTGAACTGTAAGCTCCCTGGGTGCTTACAGAGACCACTCAGGGAGTTTACAGTTTATATTGTGCTTAAGATTATACTGATCTATAATCTTACTTTCTGTCCTTTGGACACAGACCAAAATAATGTTACCTTTTTGCGGGGGAGGGAGGGAGAATAACTGCCTCATAAATTTTAAACTCATTTTAAAATTGTGGTCAACAAACAAGTGTCAGATTTCTTTTAATTTTTTAAAATAAATTTATTATTTACTTTTGGCTGCATTGGGTCTTCATTGCTGCACGGGGGCTTTCTCTAGTTGCGGCGAGCGGGGGCTACTCTTTGTTGTGGTACGCGGGCTTCTCATTGCGGTGGCTTCTCTTGTTGTGCAGCACGGGCTCTAGGCTCGTGGGCTTCAGTAGTTGTGGCTCACAGGCTCAGTAGTTGTGGCTCGAGGGCTTAGTTGCTCCGCGGCATGTGAGATCTTCCCGGACCAGGGTTCGAACCTGTATCCTCTGCATTGGCAGGCAGATTTTTAACCACTGCACCACCAGGGAAGTCCTGAAGTAATTGTTTTTAATCCCAATAAGTTTATTTAAAGTTCAGTTACACGGAAGGTAATTAGCAGTAAGAACTATCATTATCTTCTGTCCCTGCCATATTTTATTACCTCTCACAATAATCTAAGCCTTCTCACATTTGGGATGAATATTAAAACAATCTGACAGTAACAGTGATCTGATCCTTTTTTTTACATTGAAGGCAAGAAAACAGAACACAGGAAGATTTCCTCTTAGATCAAACAGAGTCAAATGTTAGCCTTATTGCAAATCTGTTTCAACTCAATTACTTGGATACCTTGCTCTTCCTTGAGTTTCCTGGGTGGTAAATATGAAGTATCCTTGGCTTCTCTTCTAGGCAGAGAAATTGATGTACAAGTGGAGCAGAAAATAAACAAACTGGGCAGTGACACAAGGATGAAAGGCACCTCTGGTTCTGGACAGAACTGGTGATGGAAGAGAAGGGAGGTGAGTAGGGCCAGGGGCCAGCTCTCCTGTGCCATCACTTTCTAGAGCAAAATTCCACGAGTCTGAGAATTCTAAATTTGAGCCTGGCCTCCTGGGTCTAATGAAGGTATATAGATAAAGGTAGCACTTTTAACTTTCAAGTATTTAGGCATCTTATATGCAGGTCTTCATTTCTACTCCTGGTCTCAGCCACCCTCCTGTCCTACAGAAATCATCATCAATATACATATTTTGAAAACTTAGATTGTTATATGAGATCTTTCTGGAAGCAGCATTTAGCTCAATGTAAGTAGCGCATAGATGCGCATCTGAAACTTTCTCTGAACGGCACCTCGTCTCCGTGACTGGAGTAGGGTATGCATGTGAACTCTTTTCCCTGCCTGTGACAAGGGGTAATTTGAAGGTGATGAACCATACATAGCACATGAAACATCTTTCTTCAAAGAAACCTGCAGAGCTTGTCGTAAAATCACACTGTTTTCTGTCCCAACACATCTCCCATCTTTTAAATCCTGTTTGGAAAGTATTCCTTTTCAATTTCTTGAGAGAATGTCCGTGAATAAATTATTTTGCCCATTTCCTAGGTAACTTGAGCCCCAAAGGAAGCACAAAGCATTTCTCTGTCCCTGACAGCATTGTGTCCTGGGCCATGAAGCCAGTGCTGGGAGATGAAGTAGGAAGTAGGTACACGATACCTGGCTTTCTGTGTGCAGGTGGGGCTTCCCGGAGCTCTGGCTTGCATGTCTTCTGCATTCCGGAGCTATCTACACTCAGTGCCACTTCAGGTTAAAGCCTGTTTCAGCAACACATAGTGCCAGGGTTCCAAGTGGGACACGTCCAGTTTGGAAGCAGTGTTTGCTAAAATGGATCAATTCTCTCTAATAACATTTTGACCAAGCATGTATAAATGAATTTCATCCCCTTGGCATGCACATCACTTTTGCCTGTCAGTACCATATTCTCAAAACTGGCATAGCTGGGGCTTCCCTGGTGGAACAGTGGTTAGGAATCCACCTGCCAATGCAGGAGACACGGTTTCGAACCCTGGTGTGGGAAGATCCCACATGCCGTGGAGCAGCTAAGCCCATGCGCCACAACTACTGAGCCTGCGCTCTAGAGCCCGCAAGCCACAGCTACTGAAGCCCGTGCACCTAGAGCCCGTGCTCCGCCACAAGAGAAGCCACCGCAATAAGCCCGGGCACCACAACAAAGAGTAGCCCCCCCCCCCCCCGCTCGCCGTAACTAAAAAAAGCCCGCACGCAGCAACGAAGATCCAATGCAGCCATAAATTAATTAATTAATTAATTAATTAAACTAGCTGCCTGGTGACTAAGCGTGACCCTCAGGCTTTCCAGACTTTAGACCACTCTGGTGGTCATTATATGAATTGTATTTTGGAGAATATTCATAACCATTGAATCATTGCCATTGTTCATCTGGTACTTTGGCACCTCACCATGGAGTCCAAGCCAAAGGGAAGGTGCTGGTCTGTGAACACGGCAGGTGCTTTTTTTTTTTTTTTGCGGTACGCGGGCATCTCACTGTCGTGGCCTCTCCCGTTGCGGAGCACAGGCTCCGGACGCGCAGGCTCAGCGGCCATGGCTCACGGGCCCAGGCGCTCCGCGGCATGTGGGATCTTCCCGGACCGGGGCACGAACCCGTGTCCCCTGCATCGGCAGGCGGACTCTCAACCACTGCGCCACCAGGGAAGCCCATGGCAGGTGCTTTTTATACATGAGCGTGTGTGTGTATTTTAACTGCTCACCAAAGCCTGTTAGATTATCCACTATTTTGAATTAGTTACACAATCTCCCTCCCATTAACTGAAAATGTAAGAAGCTCAGCGAAGTAATAATTAAAGTCTTAGATCTTTATTTCTGTTATCCACCGTGATTTTCAGTTATGTACATTGTATCAATATGGAAGCCATGTTTTCCCTAAGAGTTGTAATGAAATCAGCTTTGAGAATCTGCACTCATATTTGTGGGGCTTCCCCCTTCCGATCACTCTGACTTCCATACCACCCTCAAGAGGCCCTTCCTGACCGTCCACTTTAAATTACCCTTTTCTCCAGTCAGTCCCATCACATTGCCTGGTTCTGTTATGTCAATGGCACTTATCACTAACAGAAATTACTAGGTACATTTATTTGTTTGTTTGTTATTTTTTCTGTTGGAATTTTCATAGGGATTAAGCTGAAACAGCAGATTGCTTTGGGTAGTATTGACATCTTAACAATATTAAGTCTTCCTACCCATGAACATGGGATGTCTTTCCATTTATTTAGATTTTCTTTAATTACATTCAGCAGTGTTTTGGAGTTTTCAGGTTATAAGTGAAAACTGAAATAAATTTAAAGGAAATAAATTTAAATAAAATAATTTAAATGAAATAAATTTCAGTTAAATTTATTCCTGAGTATATTATTCTTCTAGATGCTATTATGAATGGAATTGCTTTTTAAATTCTCTTTTCAGATTGTTAGTTGCAGGTGTCTAGAAACAAAACTGACTTTGGTGTGTGAATTTTGTACCTTGCAGCTATGCTAAATTTGTTTATTGTTATTGTTATTGTTCTAGTAGCTTCCTTGTGGATTATTTGGGATCTTTCAATATGGGATCATATCATATGTGAATAGAGATAGCTTCCTTCTTCCTTTCCTATTATTTCTTTTTCTTGTCTAATTGCTCTCGCTAGAACTTCCACTACAATGTTGAACAGCAGTGATGAGTGCAGGCATCCTTGGCTTCTTCCTGATCTTAGGGGAAAAGCTTTCAGTTTTTCACTGTTTACTATGATGTTAGGTGTGAGTTTTTTATAAACACTCTTTATCATCTTGAGGAAGTCCCCTTCTACTTCTAGCTTTCTGAATGTTTTTATCATGAAAATGTGTTGGATTTTGTCAAATGCTTTTTCTGTGTTAATTGAGATGATCACATGTTTTATTACTCTATTCTATTAATGTGGCCTATGACATTGATTGATTTTCTATTTTGAACCACCATTGTATTCATGGTGCAGTGAATCCAACTTGGTTCCTGTGTATAATCCTTTTAATATGATATTGGATTCAGTTTGCTAGTATTTTCTTGAGAAATTTTTCATCTGTATTCATAAGGGATATTGGTCAATAATTTCTTTTCTTGTGATACTTCTATCTGGTTTTGGTATTAGGGTAATACTGGCCGCATAGAATGAGTTAGGAAAGAACTCTCCTGTTCTATTTTTTGGAGGAGTTTGGAGAGATTGTGATTAATTCTTTTCAAAATGTTTGGTAGAATTCACCAATGAAGCCATCTCATCCTGGTCTATTCTTTGTTGGGAAGGTTTCGATTACTGATTCCATCTCTCATTTTAGGTCTGTGAGGCTTTTTATTTCTTCTTAAGTCAATTTATGTAATTTGTGTGACTGGCTCCTTTTCGTTCTTTCAGGCTGACAGACTGTTTTTTGTTTGTTTTGTTTTTTATTTACTTTAGGCTGTGTTGGGTCTTCGTTGCTGTATGCGGGCTTTCTCTAGTTGCGGCGAGCAGGGGCTACTCTTCGTTGTGGTGCACGGGCTTCTCATTGCGGTGGCTTCTCTTGCTGTGGAGCACGGGCTCTAGGTGCACAGGCTTCGGTCGTTGTGGCACGCGGGCTCAGTAGTTGTGGCTCGTGGGCTGTAGAGTGAAGGCTCAGTAGTTGTGGCGCACGGGCTTAGTTGCTCTGTGGCATGTGGGATCTTCCCGGACCAGGGCTCGAACCCGTGTCCCCTGCATTGGCAGGTGGATTCTTAACCACTGCGCCACCAGGGAAGTCCCTGACAGACTGTTTTAAGGTATTATATCTTTCCTTCTATTATTATCATTTTTTCAAAGCCAGCGTATATTCAGAATTAACTCAGTTTCTCTTCTAAGTAAAATCAAGTTCCCTACATTTTTGTTAAAAACTTAACATCTTCCTTGGGACTAGCTGAAGCCCAGTTCATTTACAACAAGAATTTCTGTAATGACAAGAATCTCTCTTTCATTGGATCATTAATTACTCATTTACATTTCAGAGTAACAAGGTTTCAGAAGGAAAATAACAACTGGTAGTTATTTAAAGAGCACTTCCACAACTAACTGGCTGTTTGGAGCCATTATCTTTTTCATGACAACATGGGGACACTTGCTCTTACTACCAGGATCTATTTTATTTTACTGACTATGGTGGTAGTTGTAAACTGAAACATCTTTCACAGCGTCTTCTCTAATTAAAAGCATCATAAAATGCTGCTGAATTGCCTGATCCAAAATATTTGAGTCATTACGAGTTTTCTCACATGCGTTAATGATTTAATTAACTAAACTCCTTAAATCGAACCCTTTATCAGCATTATATCTTGGCAAAGATACAACATTCTCATCCTTACATCTTACAAAAGTTCATATTCTAACACAAAGAGGACACATCTCTGCAAGTGTTAAAGAATACATTTCTAAAGAAATTTCAACTTCCACTTAAAGATCAGGGCGGCCAGGGGAGGAGAGATTACCCACGAATCACTAGCTTCTCTTAAAGTCCTCCTGTCAATGGCCTAAATGCCTGTCAACAATTAGTAAATTGTAAAAGAGTACCAGAAATATCAATCCTGTTTGCAGCCCCACTATTTATTTGAATACTTCTTCTGTTTAGGATGTTCTAGAACAAATTGAGCAGTAAACTGCTCCTCAACTCCAAACCAAAAGGTCTCAGGTTGAGGGTGGGGCATATGTTGGGATAGTAGTAAGTTTAATAGTAATAGTCCATCTCTTTTCCAATTAAAAAACCCCATATATTTATATCTATATCTATATCTCACAATACATACAAATGAGGATGACATTAAAAATTGACCCCTGGCACTTCAAGGACATTGTCAATCAGAACAGACATCAGCCACAAGCAGCCACTCCTAGACCAGTGCAGACTGGATTAGACGAGTGTCAGCCATGATGTGTGTGTGTGTGTGTGTGTGTGTTATGCTTGTGTGTGTGAATGC